AGCAGAGAGCAGGAGAGAGAAGGCAGAGGGCAGACAGCAGAGAGAACAGACAGCAGAGAGCAGACAGCAAAGACAACAAGAAGCAGAAGCAAGGGCAGAAGCTAGAGAGCATAGCCAGACAGCAACAACAAATTGAAAAGCCTCTCGAGTTGTACTCATTTCTTCACCCGACTTTCTGCGTATTCGCTCGTGTCCCACGACCCCCGGGGAGGGCAGTAACCCCCCGCAAGAGGTGACCCAATGGAATGCAGAAATTAGCAGACAATATTATTGACATTATAGGTGAGTAAGTTTTATTAAAGGTAATACCGAAATGGCTGCAAGAATACACTGACAGAGGACTTCAAGAGATTTAAGTCAGATTCAGAAAATGATGTGGAACGAGGGGCTATCATTGCTGATGCCTGATGGAACATGGCTGACTGCACAGAAAACCAGAAAGATGATTACCTGTGTTTTTTTGTTTTTTTTTTACTATGACAAACCTTTTGAATGTGTGAATCATGACAAAATATGGACAACATTTCCAAGTATGAGTATTCCTGAACACTTAATTGTTCTCATGAGGAATCTGTACATAGACCAAGAGGCAGTTTTTCGAACAGAACATGGGAACTCTGAATGGTTTAAAATTTAGCAAAGGTGTGTGACATGGTTGTTTTCTTTCACCATACTTACTCAAACTTTATGCTGAGCAAACAATCTGAGAAACTGGGTTACATGAAGAAAAACGTGGCATCAAGATTGGAGGAATACTCTTTAACAACCTGTGATGTTCAGAAGATACACCTTGCTTGCTGAAAGTGAAGATAATTTAAAATACTTACTTATGAAGATCAAAGACCACAGCCTTTGGTATTGATTGCCTCTCAATTAAAGAAAATAAAATCCTCATCACTGGACCAATAAACAACATTCTTATCAATGGAAAAAAGATTGAAGTTGTCAGGAACTTTATTCTTCTTAGATCAGCCATCAACACTCACGGAAGCAGCAGTCAAGAAATCAAACAATGCATTGCATTATGCAAATGTGCTGCACAAGACCTTTTAAAGTGATGAAGAGCTCAGATGTCAGCTTGAAGACTAAGGTATGCCTGACCCAAGCCATATTTTCAATAATTTCCTATGCATGTGAAAGTTGGGCAATGAATAAGGAAGATCGTAGAAGAGCTGATGCATTTGAGTTGTGGTGTTGGAGGAGATATTGAAAATACCATGGACTGTAAAAGAACAAACAGATCTGTGTTGGAAGAAGTGCAGCCAGAGTGCTCCTTGGAGGTCTGGATGACCAAACTTCGTCTCTCATACTTCAGACATATTGTCAGGAGGGACCAATCATGGGACAAGGATATCATGTTTGGGTAGGTAGAGGGTCAGAGAAAAAGAGGAAGACTCCCAGCGAGATGGACTGCCAAAGTGGCAACATCAATGGGCTCAATCATGGCAACAATTGTGAGGTTGGCCCAGGACTGGTCAGTGTTTCATTCAGTTGTCCATAGGGTTGTTATGAGTTTGTACTGACTCAATGGAACCTAACAACAACAACTAACCTAAATGTCAATGCTTCAAACCCACCAGCCATACCTTGGAATATATATATTGGCCTTCTTGTATATACAGGATCTATATGAGTTGAAAATGACTTGACTGTATTTAACAACAACAAACAACAAAACAAGGTTATAAGAAAATATAAAAGGTTTGCAGGTATCAAAATACATGTTTGAGCTCTTATCAAAAGTCCTGTATAATATTGTATAATATGAAGTATAATAACAGATACAGGAAATAATAACAACAGCTCAATAATTTACCTTTTAAAATATTCTAATAGCAGCACCACGTTGTTAGCTTATTATGTTTTTGTCAACAGGACTCTTGCTGGTTTTCTGTGGCATTAAGGGATATAGGAGGAAAAGAACGTCATCATTTTTTAGGGGACTCTTATTGTGCACAAAGCAATTATACCAATTCTATCTTTTATTCATCAGTACTGTGAAAATCTATGGCTGGTTCAATATGATTTGATCTGGATGTGAGAAATATCAATTCAGTTTCTAGCAAATTCATGGCAGAGGAGGCCATTATTTTAAGCAAAAATGGATTGCTGAGATTTGCAGGGTTTTTCTGCTATTTATTTATTCATTTATTTATTTTCCTATTTTTTATACATGTCAAGAGGTGGGTGGCAGGAATTGGGAAAGAATCTGTTCAATTAAGTATAAAAGGTACCTGCCCTAAGTAGAAAAACTATGAGTTGAAAGAAGTACAGGCTATATATGGAACAAGAGGATCTTCCCTTAGAGTGTGATCTCGTATATTGGCCTGTGTGGCGCTGGGTTAAAGCACTGGACCACAAGGTCAGTTTGAACCACAAAGTCTGTGGTTCAAGCTCACCAGCTGGTCCTTGGGAACCCTGTACAAGGTTGCTATGAGTCAAGACTCACTCAACAGCACTGAAACAACAACAACTACTACAAACAAGGAGTTCTGGTGTAGCACTGCAGGATAATGCAATGGATCACAAAGTTGGTTTGAATCCAAGGTCAGTTGTTTAAACTCATAAGCCGCTCCTCAAAAACCCTATACACCGTGTCACTATGAGTCAGAGCTGGCTTGAAGATACTTCATAACCACAACTACAAACAAAAGTACCATGGAATGCCAAACAGAAAAAATAAAAAACAAAACAAAACAAAAAACCAACCAAATATGTCTTAGAAGAAGTACAGCCAAAATGCTGATTGGAAGCAAGGAAGACAGGACTTTATCTCATAAACTTTGAACATCGTATCTGGCGAGACAAGTTCTTGGAAAAGGACATTATGTATGGCAAAGTAGAGCGTTAGTAAAAAAGAAGTTCCCCCCAGTGAGCTAGAATCACACAGTGGCTGCGAAAATGGACTCAAACATGACAATAATTTTGAAGATGGCATGGTGTTTCATTGTGTGATGCGTAGGGGTGCTGTGAGTTGGCACCAACTGAACAGCATCAAATGACAACAACAACTACAAAGATAGAACACATAATGATTTCCACAGAGCATCCACAAACCTGAACAGCATCACAGACCTCCTTCCCATCCTTATCCAGTAAAGCCCTTTGGCCCATGTGCTTGTCAGTACCCAAGCCCAGAATGGTTGTTTGGTATTGCTTGGCTACTGAGGCTTCATCCCTCTCTGAAACTAGATGAGTCAAGAGGCAATGATATATTTTCTGATTCCTGTCTTTTCAATATAATTTTGGTTTTGATTTTATTAATAACAAAATAAGAAATATGCATAATAAAACATTAAAAAATAAAACAGTATTTCTTAGTTTGTTCCAGAAGGGTGGTGGGGGTGGCCTTTTTATTCGTTTCAAGGACTGAAAGCAAGAGTGAAGCAGGATTTTGACATTCAAAGCAAAAGTATTATTCTAGGCATTCAATATATTTTGATTTGCTTTTAGTACAATTACTTCCGTTTACTCTATGGGATAATTAGTAGGGAAAAATAGTCCTGTGTCACATTTTAATATGCACGTAAGAAAATGACACCAGAATGTTCAGATGTCATTTGCTTTTCAGTTTTTCAATGCCACGCTACTGCCTTGGATTGAGAATGTAGCTACAGTTCAGTCCTCTCTGGATGAGGAGAGGAACAGAAGATTTGTGATCCCGCACTGCCTCCACATTAGGGAAGTTCCTTGGCTTAGAGGGAGGACTATTTTTTAGTACTAACAGTACTAAAGTGAGAATAAATAGTCAAGCAGGGAAATGGAAGTCAGTGAGCCTGCAGCCACAGATATTCTATTGCAACACTTGCTGTTTCTCCCATAGGTACTGAGCAAACTTATTGAGTGCAATTTCCAATTTCTTTACTTAGAGGTACCATGAGCTTAGTTTCAATGCAACAACTTCCAAACACCAGCAATTAGAGGAATGCCTCTCCATTTCCCACTCTATTCCTTACCCTAGAATTTAGGAGGATCCATATTTAACCTCTCCCATATTACTGTAGAAACACTTACTGACTACATAATTTCCTAAACATGTTGGTAAGCTAATATATTTTCTTGTCTGTATTTTTGAGTCAGAGTGAACTTAATTATAAATTACTGATCATTTTGTCGACATTATCCTTTAGATCTTTACCAAAATCTGTACACTTAGAATACACTTAATCAATATTTAAAATACCAGCAAATGTTCTCATGAGCTGATTTGGGTAATTGTGCTTTTAAAAGTCTCTTTAAACCAGAAAGTTGTTGTTAAGTGCCTACAAGTCATTTCCTATTCAAAGCAATTCTGTATAAGCTTCCCAAGGAGTGGCTGGTGGGTCTGAACTTCTGACTTTGTTGTTAGCAGCCTAGTGTTTATCCTACAGTGTCACATCAGAACTTCTAAATCAGAATTGTTGTTGTTGTTGTTAAACACTGTTGAGTCAGTTCGGACTCACAGTGACCCTGTATAGCATTTTGAAGGAGAAACTGGTGGATTTGAACAGCCAACCTTTTGGTTTGCAATCCAGTGTTGATCTTACAGTGCCACACCAGAAGTCCTAATTCAGAATAGCATCTCTTTAATAACTAGAAATATTTTGAATTTCATGGTATGGTGTCTGCTTATTAGTTTTTTGTATTGGCAATATTTAAAAATACTTGCAATTATCAATATACTACTTAGCGATATTGTGAGTTCCAATATACCTTCATAATAATAAAAATATAAAATTGCTAAATAGTATACTCTATAACAATTTTCCCATTACACAAAGCTATATGTTGATAAAAACTGTCTACTGGGAATGTAAGCACCAATGTTTAGAAAGATATGATATATTGATAATGTTCATTTTTATAAACATTATTTTAAACTGTCTAGCACAAATGAGAGTTTTCTGTGACGTAATTCACTTCCTCATTCTGTCTCATTTCATCTTAACAAGTTCACATTCATTTCACCCTGAAATTCCCCAGAAGAGAAAAAAAAAGAGGCACACAAATTAAAAACTTACCTTTCCAACATATTGTGGATCTGGTCCCATATGTTCTTCTAAAACAAAGAACTGATTCCATACCCATCCTCTTTTGGGACGATGGTGGACTTCTGTTTCACCTTCAATATGCTTGGTTTGGTTTCGGGTGACCTTGATGGAGCTATGGTGGGCTGTTCCATAACACCTCTGCACAAAACAGAGACACACGAGGACTGGACAGATGCAAGATGTGCTCGTAATTTTCATTGTAAGATAACTTTCCGGTTCACAGTTTTCTTCCTTTTCCTTGTCAGCTATAAATGCTTAGTGAGCATTCAAGAAAGAAGCCAAAGCATCTTTTGAAAGGATAGCCCAAAGTAAACTGTTTAGTGTGTCCATGATTTAACTGCCCATCAGGGAAAGGTCAGACTACATTTACATCCTGAAACACTTGGACAATCAAAGCTGTAGTTGTCTGATTCAAGTCTTCACAGTAGGTAGATACGGCCAACCATTTTCTACCTAATGGAAAGAGAGAAAATTACATACATTATGAAACATGGTAATTTTAACGATTTGCTCCAAATGCAAATTATACTGTTTTACAGTGTGATGCTGATAGGCAAAGAATATATGCAAATTCTTTTTGAAATACACAAATAGTAACACATACTCAAGCCTGTATTTTAACATGGACATCTCTATCCACACCATCAATTTTGAATTACAAAAGGATCCTTTGTAACAACAGGAATGACAGTTCTAGGGAGCATTGAAGTGATCAGAAACTGACCATGAGTATATGCATATTCGTTACAGTTGTGTGGTCTCTTAGGTTCTGAAATCTATTTAGGGGATCCATTCAAAGTGTCCAGTCGTTTGATTTTGATGTGTATGCCTCTGTGTGTTATTATTTTGGCTTCGGTTTTGGTTTGCTGTTTAATCCAAATTCACTAAACTGAGCACATGTTGAGAACTTTCTGGCATAGTGGCTTACATGTTGATCTGCTAACCACAATGTCAGCAGTTTGAATCCACTCAGTGCATCACAAGAGAAAGAGGAGGCTATCTGCTCTCATAAAGATTTACAGCCACAGGGACACCACATAGGGTCATTATAAGTAGGAATAGACTTGATGGCCATGGTATGGGGTACCTTCTATAGACCAAGGACTGAAATACTATCACAGGCTGCCACAACAATGAAGAATTTAAGGTGCTTACAAGTAAAATATTAAAAAAGAAAAGAACAAAGTAGCTGACTGAATAAAATATGTTCTTGTTAAATGCCATCAAGTTGGCTCCAATTCATAGCAGTCCTGTGTTGGGTTTACGAGGAGCAGCTGCTGAGTTTCAACTGCAGAGCTTGTATCTCAAACTGACCTTGTGGTCCAGTGTTTATCCTAAAGGGCCAAAATAATACAAATGCTATTGAAAAGTACTGCAAACTTGGAAAAGATACTAAAAATGTTGGAAATGCATAAGAAGGTTAACTGGTTGAATTATGATTTGCATAGATTTTGATAGAATCTGCATATAGACTCTATAGACTCTATAGAGTGGACTCTATATACTCTATAGCATGGACTTAATATATAGGTGAGACAGATTTTCACGTTTGGGAATGGCACTTCAAGGTTTGATTTCTATTATATTGAATTGTAGAAACATTGTGAAGATTTAGAGGAAGAAAACAATTGTGCATAAAGGATATGTTTAAATACTTTGAGTTTCCTGTAAGAATTTTCAAGTAAGGACTTAAGTTTAATGTAATTAAACAATAAAGGAAAACCATTTCTAGATGTATGAGGACAGGATTTGAGATGATCAAGGCTGATTCTTAAAAAAACAAATCACAAAATTTGTTTTTGTTTTATTTTGTTGTTTACTATAATTTTTCTGTGTCGATGTATGTTTTTGAAAATTTTGTAAATTTGAATATCATATGCCATTTAATAAAATATATATGGCTTATCTTTTCAATCTATAAAAATCACTCAATAAATTAGCCCACAGTAAATGCATATTTCCAAATAATTACAAATTAATTGTTATGATCCAATAACACTGGTTTTTAATTTGATTAAAATCAGTCATAGACTGATCTTTTTTTTTAAATTTATATTTAAGAAAATATATTTACTCTGAGTTAAGGATGAAAAAAATCATCTGGGCCCTTAAGCATAGCATTTTCTTCATCAGTATTTCATTCCATAAATTGGAACTTATTAGACAAGCTGTTTCACTGGTTGTATAGGAAGTGCACAGGATTGCAATTGTAATTTCTTCTTAATCACCAGACAAAATAAAGTCAATATTGTTAAATATTTTATGAAACAAAGCTGCCTTATTCACTGATTTAAATGCAAATGATTCAAAACTCTCTAGACATATGAAAGAGACCAACACCATTCTGGCTGTACAATTCTATGAACACTATAGAAAATAAGGAAACACAGGTTATTCCATTTTGGATTTTTAAGTTGCACAATTTACTGATTTAAACTCAAGTGATTCAAAAGCTCTCCAAACATATGTAAGAGACCAACACTATTCTGGCTATAAAACTTTAAGAAAACTGGAGAAAGTAAGGAAATACAGGTATACTCAGTGTTTTTGTTTTCTATTTTACAATTTACTTGCAGTATGAAATTTTTAGTATCATCCAATTTATTTAGGTCCAATTTTCTCATATAATAAAAGAAGGGGAAATTATGTAATAAAATACCTGAATGGTTTTATATTAGATTCTTTTAAATGTCAAAGTTTATTAATTTTCCATTGGCCACCTAAAATGAAAGCATGATAAAATCACAGACTGACTGGCTTACAAGTTTTCAAGAAGGAGTTTAGTTTAAGAGTGTTCAGAGGAAAGTATAGCTTCTACTGAACAGTTTTCATCTTGTCTATATCAGTCTGGTGAAAAGAGATGGGATAAGATTCTTA